TAAAGAAGGTATTTCACTGACTTTTAAGAACTTGAAAAATTAAGCTTGCTCTTCAGCTCTGTTTTTTGTACTGACTTGTACAGCATGTTTGTCAAAGACTTAATAAGGGCAGCTGGTATAAACACCCTAGTACATTACATAAAACTTGCGCTATGTAAAGACCTGTTGTTGGGCCCCTGCTTCTTCACCCAGTGCATCAAGGTTGACAGTTATTTTTTGTTAAGACTGATCAAAAAATGTGTTCACCAGCAATGTGATTTACCCCTTTGAATGTAGTAATCCCATCTGGCAATTAAAGTTTGTGCTATTCTTTTTTCCTTTTTAAAGGTAAATAAATGTTGTGAGGCAGTGTTACAGTAATGTTGATGCTAGTGCCAATTACAGAACAGATTTTTTTTTCTTCCGCCCCTTAGCTTTGTTTACACGCTTCATATGTCTAACTCTTCTACTGATTCTGTTCTTGCAGAAAAGCACTGTTGGAAGAAGATGCACTGTTTGAAGAGGGTGCACATGTATGCATACAGAAAGGGTAACTTTTGACAAGGGTTTGTCTTGCTGTCCTGGTAGGATAGGTGTCTAACCACCTCAGGTTTCATGTGGTCGTTCCAACAGTGGCTTTTCTAATAAAAAAAGAAAGGGATTGTTCTTGAAACTGATTGTGGAAAAACGGCTGGGTGATGCTGCAGTAATCTGAAATGGGTGAAATGCGTACTACTGACCTTGGTCTATCACGTTAAATTTCAAGTGAGGGGTCTTGTCTTTGTATATCATTGGTGGCGGATAGCCAAGGTGATCAATCTGTTGCTTACGCAGCTGGTGTGCATTAATCTTACCCTGCTTTAGAGGTATGATAGAGGGAATGTGGTGATGCTGTTACAGCTGCTAATCTCATAGATAAGGTGATGCTTTGCAGGAGCATTAGTCTACAGAGATGTAGAGCTGAGAGGATGGTTATTAACTGTTGTGGTTTAGCTCCAGTCAGCAACCAAGCACCATGCAGCTTCTTGTTCACCCTCCCCCCCCCGGTGGGATGGGTGAGAGAATTGAAACAGCAAGAGTAAGAAAACTTTTGAGTTAAGAACAGTTTAACAATTGAACTGTAATAATAATAATAATAATAATAATAAATTGTAATCAAAAGAAAGAGAGAGAGAAACAAAACACAGGAAAAACAAGTGATGCAACCACTCACCACCCACCAACTGATGCCCAGCCTGTCCCTGAGCAGCAACTGCTGCCCCCCAGCCAACTTTCCCCAGTTTACATACTGAGCATGAGGTCGTATGGTGTGGAATAGCCCTTTGGCCAGTTTGGGTCAGCTGTCCTGTCTGTGCCCCCCCACAGCTTCTTGTGCCCCTGGCAGAGCAGAGGAGGCTGAAAAGCCCTTGCCTGGTGTAAGCACTGCTTAGCAACAACTAAAACATCAGTGTGTTGTCAACATTATGCTTACACTAAATTCAAAACACAGTGCTATGCCAGCTACTAGGAAGAAAATTCCAGTATCCCAGCTGAAACCAGGACATTAACAAAGAAGTGGGAGGGAAACAGCATATTATGGTATGTAGGTTTTTGTTGCAGTTCCAGTGGTGTCCCCTGCCCTCTTGAGGAGATTTGCCTTCAGACAGTAAAAGATTGAATGTGTCCTAGGTTTTCTTAATTTTTTTGTTTACCATCTTACAGTTTAGGAATATCTGTTTTGCCTGGGTCAGCTACATCTGTAAGTAAAGCTATAGCCTGTAGAAGACATTTCATCCGACTTTGTCTTCCTTAACGTAAACATTACCATGCCATATTGTCATAGACCTTATAGTTGTGGAAGGTGGTTACTTCTAAAGTATTCAGAATTGGACTGTGTTTTAGTAAACCACTGTGCATTAATTTATGATTTTTCTGTATACTATCGCCTTGACTGGGGAGCTGATTTTTTTTGAAGAATAAACTTCACAGTGTGTGAGTGGTTCTGATTTGATACGACTTTTGTGCAGTCATTTACAGCTGTGGTAAGTAGACGTTGTGTGAACCAAGCCCCCTACTGGTAGCTTTATGTTTGTTAAATGCTCACTAAGAGTACTGGTTCGTTCCCTTGACATACTAGAAGGTAGTGATCTCAGAGGAAGATCTTTACACCACCTCCAGCCCAAATTTAAAAAACAAAACAAAAAACCCCAAAGGTATTTAAAAACACAAGTGTGCTTTGCTTCTTCCTGCACAGAAATCCATGCACCTGTCCTCTGAATTTGGAGACAGAACTAAGAAAGAAAACATTACTGACAGTTTTGATGCAGAATTGAGGGTTTGTTTTTTTTTACTCAGGTTGACTATAATTTTTTTAAACTATCTTTCTGGCTTTGATTTGTGTTTTCTTGAACATTGCAGTTTTTCCTCTTACGTGACAACTTTAGATGTTTACCTTAAGCCCAGTGAAAAGGCTGTGTATGGCACTGCTTTTTAACAAAGAATGTATTCTCTTGAAAATGTTTAATGGCTGCTGCACCTCTAATGTTTGTTTGTACTTTTTTTTTTTCCAGTTCTTTCTTTGTGTCTGCTTAGCCTGTAAAGAAAACAGAGCTCAGCTTATGGTGCAGAAAAGGCTAAAAGACGATTCTAGAGGATTCTAGGCTATGAAGTTAGCTGACCATGTTATGTAAGGTCTGCCTTTAAAAACTGCTTCCTCCCCTCTCCCTCTGCCAGAAGGCTGAGACCCTCTTGCAGGTAGCTTTTATTGTACTACCTTGCTGAATCTTGCGTACAATCAGTAGGTCTCTTAGATCTTGAGTCAGTCTGATTTAATTTGAGTAGCTTCTTTTCCTTCTTGCTGTCCTTTATATTTGTAAGCAAAGCTTGAATTTTCTTTCTGAAATTCATGGTGCTAAAATAAAACTAGAGAAACTCTTTTAAAAGTCTTGGTCTCTGTGCTCTTGGACATCCCAGAAGCCTTTAATGCGTAACTGTTCTGGTTCATCACTTTTGAAAAAAGGTCAGTGCAATGCACTTGTACTCAGGTGAAGCTTTACTAGCATCATGCAAAGTGGTGCTTTTATGCTTTTTCTGTCTGTGTGGAGAATCCTCACTTCACTTTTCTGGATAACCTCACTTAATTACCACCATCTTCATCAAGGGAAAACAATTAACATACTGCTCTGTTTGCAGCAGTAAATCATGTTAGTCCTCCAGGGTTTATATTTTATAAGGCCCATGTGTGTTTTGTAATTTCACATTGCTTGATGCTTGGATCTCCCTTATCTGATCTTTGTGGTAAGTCTTTAGTCCAAAACGCCTATGGAATACTGAAACCCTTGAACTCTCTTCAGCAAACTGCTAGTACTGTTCTTGCTACTTTTTGTTTTGTTCCAGAGAAGCTGGAAATAACTGGGCGCTGTTAACAGGTTTTAGTTTGACAGTGCAAGTGTGGGCTGCTGCTGAAAGGGGTAAACTTTTGTGCTCTCTCTTGTGCTGCTGTTCATATTTTTGAATTGGGTCTGGGAACTGATCTGGTTTACGGAAAGCAAACCACCCCCAAACTGCAAAATCTTGAACTGGATGTGGTGAGCCACTTCCCCAATCCAATACACCAGTGGTCTCCACAATCTTTTGACTGCACACTCGTATCAATAAAAAAATTGTTAAGCATGCACCCTTAATATGCATATATTTATTTACTTACAATATAATTATATACAATATAAATATACTACTGTACTAATATTTTGTATGGTACCAAATAGATAAAGATGAAATAAACACTTTCAGAAATCTTTTTGTACTTTAACATTAGAAAAAAAAATATTTTCTTTCCATGCTCCTAGTGAGCTGTCTCCTGAACCCCTTGGAGACCACTGCAATGTACTATGAACGAACCCCTTGAGTGCTCATGTCAGAAGAAAAGGCATTGTAATTTGCTGGAAGAGTACAATTAGGGAAGGAAGGAGGGCCTCTTTGGAGGAGCTTGTTTTTTCTAATAAACCAGTCTTAGCTGACATATTGTCAATGTCAATGACTAGTTCAGGGCCAGAACCTGAAAGAATAGCACTAACTTCTCTGTAGCTGGGCAGCTTTTCTGTCAGCATAAGCTATTTCAGAGCTGGTTAAAGAGGAAGGTGCTGCAGAACTAATGTTCATCTTTGGATTAACTTTCTCCCTTTTAGTACTGCATTTGATTAGACTGCAGATTATTTTCATTCTTGAAGAACATTCCTGCAGAGGAGGAGGTTGGCAAGATCAATACCTTGGAGTAATTCAAACCAGTGTGCTACATCTTCTGTTGCAGCCTTCAGATTTTTTCCTAAAGCCGCATATAATATTGATACGTGAGCAACCACAAACTCATTTCTCCTTCTGCCTCGCCCCTCCTTTTTGGTATAGGTAATAGCAATCGCAATATTGTCACTTGTTCACTACTAAGAATATTTTTAAATAGTTGATTTAGAATTATTTATTATTATTTATTATTTAGAATTGTTTGCCTTTCAGTATTTTGACAGCTATGCAGTTCTTGCAGCTTGAGCGCATGGAAGGTCTTTGATTTATTTCTACACTTCAGCATGTTGATAAACTTACTGAAGTTTCTTTTTATCCATAAAAATGAAGATGCACTATCCGTGCTTGATAAATTTACTGACTTAAGGATGTGATGATTAAAAAAAAAAAGGTAAAAAGTTCCTAAAAATCCATTTTTTAAGAAGGAAGCTCATCTCTTGCGTCTTTATTTTGCTAGTTAACTTTCCTTCTGCAAATGAACTGCTTCTATTTCAGATTATTCAGTTGCTTTTTTTTTTTTTTAATTCAGAGAAAATAGCAGTGTCTGTTGCAGCTGTAAAGAAACTGTGATGCTAGGTTAATGTTTCAACTTGCTCTGAGGGTTTACATGGTAGAGAGACTCATAAGACTATTCAAAATAATACTGCTCTTGAGTTGTAAGCCGTTTGGCAACTCTGGCTTGAATGTAGTGCTGTACCAGCACAAGTAAGTGCTGTGCTGGATGAATGTACCAGCTCTGCTCGGTGCTGGCTCTTGTGCCATTAAATGCTTTTGCTTCATTCTGCAGAACAAGGAAATTCTATGAAATACTTAAAAGGTCTCTAACCATTAGAGGTGTATCAGGATTATGTTTTTCAGATAATCAAATGAAAACTACCTGTGTTCAGAGCCTGGATCTGCTTTCTTGAGAAGTGTGACTTTTCTTTTCATGCCAATGGATATCAAAAGGAATATGATGGTCAATGCACAGTAATGAATAATTACTTGATAATCATTCACAGTGCAATGGCTCTTCTGGGAAGGATCAAATGCATTGGTGTAGTAGGGAAGCTAGTCATTTGGTTCTGGAGAGGGCAGGAAAGGAGTAATCCTTCAAAACCTGAGGTGTACTTCTGAGGTGTGAAGTAGACTACGTGTATTTCTTCCTCTAAACTGGATGGGTTGGTTGCTCCTACGCTTGTGCAGGAAGTCATGCCTCTTTTTTTAGGACTAGATGCTAATGGTGCAATTTCCTGTTAACTAGAAGAAGTGGAGA